AGTTTCGGACGGGGCCTCGTCATGCTTCTCGTGCTGGCCTCGCCGGGCCAGCCCGAGTCCGCCGGAGCCTGGCCGTACGACGTCCCTCCTCCCTGGCGCTCGTCGTCCTGCTGGCGGCCGCCTGTGGAGCCTTGCCATCGCCACGGTCGGGCCCGCATCGAAGTACGGGGCCAAGATGGGCCCCAAGGGGGGGGGGGTCTGGGGACCGATGCTGAGCGGATGCGGGCCAGGCGGGGCAGCCGCCGTGGCCTCGACAGAGGAGGGCGCGCTGCGACGACGGCAGCCGGCCTTTCGGGGGCCCGCTCGCCACCATGGCGGCTCAGCTCCGAAAACTTGTGCGTTCAGAGACGAGTTCGAGCCGCCGGTTGTCTCCTTCCGCTTCTGAGCAGGAGCGCTCGCTTAGGGCGGAAGCGGCACTCGAGGCCGTGTTGATTTGGGCCGTGTTCCGACGTCAGGCTTCGAAGGAGAAGGAACTCGGCCAACAAAAACAAGCGACACCACCCCACCTACTGCCCCCCCAAAGTTGCGCTACGTCCCATCGGGGGCCGTAGCGTATACCGTGCAAAAACCTACGCCAGATGTCCAGGTACACGCTACGGCCCGTGGGGCCGTAGGTGGGGTGGTGTCGTTTGTTTTCTGGTCCAGGAACAGCATTCGGAGCCCCCCGCTTCTGGCCCCGGCCCTCGCCCTGGCCTCAACTCCGGCTCCGGCCCCGGCCACGGCCCCAGCAGCTCCTGCCTGGGCGCTGGCCCTGGCCCCAGCCTGGGCCCCAGCCCCTGGCTGGCCCCAGCTGCTGGCGTGCCGGCACAAGGCAACGCCAAGTTCGTCAAACGCCAACGAGCACAACAGCAGCGCGCCGCTCGCATTGAATTGCGCGGCATTGTTGTTGGCTGGCCGTCGAGCTGTTTCCGCTTGCAGTTCACGCGTCGTTTGACGGCCCCATTAATGTTAAGCTCTTCACGTGGGGGGCGGGGGGGCGTTTTCCATGCGTTCACAGCAAACCCAGCCCCAGCCCCCTGCGCTGGCTGGCTTCAAAGTTGCCAGCCCCCCATCCTTTTTCGTAAATCGGGACATGTCAAAAATTGCGCTGTGGGGCAGAAACTTTCATGTATAATCGATCCTACCCCCCATTCTTATTGTTTACAGCGCTTGCGCTTGAGAGTGGCACCGTGGTGGACTGCGGTGCATCGGAGCGCTTGCGCTTCATGGAAAGACGGATCAAAGAGCTGGCGCTCCGTGGCCGCCGCGGGTCGAGCGGGTGGTTCCGCGCCCGCTGCCATGGAGCGCGTTTGATCGGGCGCACCTCCAGGCGCGCGGTGGTCCCTTCACAGGCCCCCTCCTGCTGCCCAGCACCCTCTATCAGGTAGGGCTCCTCCCCAAGCTGGTCCAATGTTCCGAAAATGTGCCCAGCCCCTTCTCCACGGGAGGCGAATGCTGTATGAGCGCTCCATACAAAAGAACACATCGCCAGACGCGCACGATCTGCAACGCCCTCATCTCCGCCGGGCCTACCAGGAGCCCATGAAAGTGACCATAACTGCGCACCTTGTGGCCTCCCAGGGAGTCGCGAGGTCTCGGCTGGATCCTTGTGCCCCCCGACTTCGCTGGACCCTCCAGGAGCCAGCGAAAATGGCGACAGTTGTGCAGTTCGCAGCATGCCAGAGAGCAGCGAGGTCTCGTCTGGGTGCGCGTGGCCGTCAATTCTGCTGGACCCCAGGAGCCCACGAAAGCGGTGACAGTTGCGAAGTTCGCAGCCACCCAGGGAGCGGCGGGGTCCATTCTGAGTGCGCGTGGCCCCTGACTCCGCTGGACCCCCGAGGAGCCCGCGCAAGAGGCGCCAGTTGCGCAGCTTGCAGCCTCCAAGTACTCCGCTACTCCGCCGTGCCCCCCAGGAGCCCACGAAAGTGGCTACACTTGCACAGCTCGCAGCTACCCAAGGAGCAGCAAGGTCCCATCTGGGTCCGCGCACTTCCCGTTTCCGCTGGACCTCCCAGGAGCCCACGAAAGTGGCGTTAGTTGCGTGATTCGCAGCCCCGCGGGGAGCTGCGAGATACCGTCGTTTGAATCCGCGTACTCCGCTACTCCGCCGTGCCTCCCAGAAGCCCACGAAAGTTGCGGCAGTTGCTGAATTCGCAGCCACGCAGGGGGCTGCGAGGTCCCGTCTGGATCCGCGTGCTCCGCGACTACGGCATGCCCCCCGTGAGCCCACGAAAGTGGCGTCAGTCGCGCAGTTCGCAGCCACCCACAAAGCTGCGAGGTCCCGTCGTCTGGATCCGCGTACTCCGCTGCTCCGCCGAGCCTCCCAGGAGCCCACAAAAGTGGAGCCAGCTGCGCAATTCGCAGCCCCACGGGGAGCTGCGAGGTCCCATCTAGGTCCGCGTACTCCGCCACTCCGCCGTGGCTCCCAGGAGCCCACGAAAGTGACGAGAGCTGAGCAGTTCGCAGCCACTCAGGCAGCTGCGAGGTCCCGTCTGGGTCCGCGTACTCCGCTACTCCGGAGCCCACGAAAGTGACGAGAATTGCGCAGTTCCTAGCCACCCAGGGAGCTACGATTTCTCGTCTTGACCCGCGTACTCCGCTACTCCGCCGTGCCCCCGAGGAGCCCACGAAAGTTGCGACAGTTCCGCAGTTCGCGGCGACCCAAGGAGCAGCGCAAGGGCAAGCGCAGGAAGGGGAGGAGGCAAGGGGAGAGGAGAACAAGAGGAGGGGGAGAAGGAAGATGAGTCGGGACCACAGTGCTCTATTTCAAAACGAGAACCCAACGCAGGAGGGTTGGGGAAAAGCTCCTCTGATGCTAGACGTGCTCATCACCCGTCTCTGGCTCCCGCTGCTGCGCAGCGCCCTCTATTAGACAATGCCATTCCCGGGGGGGGGCTTAGTAAGCGACACGGGAGGCCAAAAAGAGGGCGGACAGGGACGGAGAGGTGGCCAGGAGGCCCAGCAGCACTGGCCGCGGACACCCTTGGAGCTGTGGCACGACGCCGGCAGACCGTACACTTTTTGCGACCGGCGGAGGGTTCAATGCTCCCGAAGGATGTTCTTCGTTCCTATTTCCGACCGTATTGGGCGAGCACCAGTAGCCGGTGAGCAGGGTTGAGACGGCCGACCTGCACACACACATACACACACACACACACACACACACACACACACACGCGCGCGCCGCTGAGCAGTGCGCAGGCTTGCCGCCGCTGCCTCCGCTGCTCCACTGCCCCCCGAGCTCCTTTACAGTACAGTCACGACACTGAAATAAGGACCACCTTGGGCTCAGGAGGGGCTGCAGATTTGGGGCCGTTCCTTAGATCTACGTCGGGGAACCCACTCGAAGCCGAGGCTCGCCGTGAGGCCAGAGAAGCCCCTTCGTTCCTTCTTTGGCGTTCCTTCTGGCAGGTCGCCGATTGCATGCACAGACCATAAGGTGTAGAACTATGAGAAACCTCCGGGCGCATGGTTCGTCGATCTTTGAGGGTCATGAGGGACCATCGGGTGATAAAGAATTTCCGTCGGGCGCCTGGCCGATGTCTTGTCTTACGTGTCTGAGCACCGTGCCCTTTTTTGCCATCGCGCAGCTTACGTGCAAAGTCAATTCGAGTCTGCCTCGAATCTGGGACGAGAGCCACGCACGCGGGAGGAGGCCCAAACAGCAACGGGCTCCCAACGTCTACGCTGCGCTGCCCGGATGAGGGTGTGAGCTGCAGGGGGCGCCTGCGCTCCTCTGTGCCGACGTGCCGTCTGCGCGCAAGGCTCGCCTGCTCTTCACAGCCGACCCGCCCCCCCCCCGTCCGCGTGGGCGCCGTGGCCGAGGCACGCGAGGAGCGCGCCGACGGCTCCGGGGGCAGCTCCGCGGAGGAGGGCGGCGGCGGCGGGCACGAGCGGCGCAGGCGCGAGCGGGCCAGCGACGACGAGGAGAGCGAGGAGCCCACCTCCGCGCCGCCGCCCGCGGGGCGCCGGCGCCTCCGCGGGCCGTGGGCTCCGCGCGGGGCCTCCCGGGTGGGGTGCGAGCAGATGGGATCGCAGGGCCGCGCCGTGTCGCCGAGGCATCGGCACTGCGGCTCGATGGCCCAGCGTGTGTCCACGCCGACGTCGCCGAAGCATCGCCGGTGCGTCGCCGGCGCGCCGCCGGTGCGTCGCCGGTGCGTCGGCGATGCATCGGCGACGCGGGAGGACCTGTCGGCCCCAGGCGCTCCGACCCCATCCAGGGGGCCTCGAGAGAGCCTCCCTCTGGCTGCTCCTCTTCCTCCTCCAGCCCTTTTTCTGTGGCTGCGCGCCCGAGAGGTGCATCGCCCTGAAGGCGCAGCGCGAGCGGTGGTCGAGTGGGCTGGGAAGGCCAGGATCGATTCATGTTGAGGGCTGTTTGTTGCGAAATCGACGCGCAGAAATGTGGAGTAGCGGCGCGAAAGCGCGCTCAGATTGCCACTCTAGGCGCGCCTGCGCAGCAACGCGCGAAAGCACGCTCAGATTGCCAAGATGGGCGCGCCTGCGCCGCAACGCGCGAAGGCTCGCTCAGATTACCATTCTGGGCGCGCCTGCGCTGCAACGCGCGAAAGCGCGCTCAGATTGCCATTCTGGGCGCGCCTGCGCCACAACGCGCGAAATCGCGCTCAGATTGCCATCTGGGGCGGCAGGAGTAGTAGCGGTCTGTAACATCAACACCTCCTCCTTTAAATCATCAATCTTTCCCGCAGAAGAGCGATGATGATTTAAAAAAACGCAGCGTCCTTGAAAACGCGAAGCCCGATTGCTCGGACTTCCAGGAGCGGATTGGTCTGGATTCCATCCTTTCTCTTGGGGAAACGTAAGACTCGAGTGCGCCAGAACTCGGGCTTGCAAGCGCTTTCTGACGAGGTCCTGGATCTTGACGGTCCAATTTCCGTGGGATGTATACAGCGGTAGTTTGCATCAAATTTCAGATTGGGTCTCGTCAGTTTCATAATGGCCCCGTCAGGCCAAGCAGAGTCCCCCGAACCCGAGTCTTACGTTTCCCCGCGACTGGACCCGATCCTTTCGCCTTTCTTCTGCATGCTGCATGCCGAAACCAGCATGTCCGGCCTCGACGGCGTTCCCCTAGAGGCCACCCGAGACATCGGCCTGTTGATCGGCAAAATCGGCCACCCATCTGGGCATTCGGTGGGTGCTTTGTAGGCCCTAGAAAAAGCAGGCCTGTTTTTGAGGGATTCCGTGTTTGCTGTTTTCTTGCCAGTTGTGGCGCCGTTTTTTTTCCAGTACCGTCGCCGTTTTTGTGGCCTGTTCCGGTTCCGGTTCCAATTCCAGTTTCAGGTCGCCGCTTTTTCCCGCTTCCATTTTCAAGAGACAGTTTTTCGGAAACGGTGACAAGAACTCCTTGCCGCTTCCAGGGCCCACAAAGGGTGGGTGGTCCCCAAGTGATCATCTCATGACGGTATGCCTCCATCTCTGTTTCTTGCGAACATTCCCCGCCCCCTTCGCACGAGCATGCGTGTCGGTAGGTCGGGCCGGGCGCTTTGCCCGAGACTATCCTCACCGCTTGCGCCCCTGAAGCTGAAGATTTCCAAGTACTACACGAATGTAGGGCGGCCCGTGTTCAAAATGTAGTTCTCGCGTCAGCGCCGCGCGCATCCGTTCAAAAAAGCTTCGAACCGGTGCAAGAATGGAGGGCGCGTCGTTTTCAGCATGTGGCTCTCTCCTTATGCCCGCTAACATTCGAGCGAAGGCTGCCAACAGTTACAGAGATGGAAGGCGGGTCGTTTTCAATATGTAGCTTTCGCCTTACGGCTGCGAACGGTCGCGGTCAACGTTTCCAACGCTTGCAAGGACGGCATGCGACTGTGTTATACATTTTGCCTATCACTTGAGGCGTCTTGGCATGTTATTGAAATTCCCTGACAGTTGAAGACCTGCAACAGCTACACGTATGGAGGACAGTTTGTTGTCAAAGCCGTGTTGTATCTTAAGATGTCAGTTGGTCTGTCAGAGTGTTCAACAGTCACGCTGATGGATGGAGAGCGGTTCCTTTTCAAATGTGGTCTCTCTTAAATTGCATGGCCATGGGGCCCTCATTTTTCAAAGTGGTACTTCCGAAGTAAAATTCTGGTTGTAAGGATTGATGACGAGGCTGCTTGGGACGGGAGGGTGCACCGCAGCATCAGCATCGTTGATGCACATTTGATTCCCTCGGGTCTTCTTCCCCCTCCTCCTCCTCCTGCTCCGCGTCCTCTTCCTCCTCCTTCTCTTCCCCCCTCCTCCTCCTCGCCCTCCTCTCACATACGGCCACTCATCCTCTTCCTCCGCCGCCTCCTTGGCCGACGCCTGTGCGAGCGCGCCAGCCACGCCGAGGGAGGCGAGGATGCGTCGTTCTGCTCGCGTCGGCGCCTCCGTGGGCTGAGGACGAGGAGGATAGGGGCAGAGGGGATGAGGAAGAAATGGTGATGGTGATGAGAGTAGGAGGAGGAGGAGGAGGAGGAGGAGGAGGAGGAAATGTAGGAAATGGAGGATGAAGAGGAGGAGAAGGGGGGGGAGGAGGAGGAGGACAAAGGAGGGATAAGGAGGGATAAGGAGGAGGAGGCGGAGGAGGAGGAAGAGCAGGAGGAGGAGGAGGAGATGGAGGAGACGCAGGAAGAGGAGGAGGAGGAGGAGGAGGAAGAGGAGGAGGCTCCTCGTCCCCTCCTGGTCTTCCCCCTCATCGTTGTCGACCTCCTTCCTCCTCCTCCTCCTCCTCCTCCCTCAACCCCTTGGTTGCGTAACTTGGCCCGGGCATCTCGCGGCGGCCAGATTCCCAGCCCCAGCTGTCACAAGGCGGCCACCAGCAGCGGGCCCAAGTAGAGCTGCGGGACACTGTCCACTCGCGGGTAAGAACTCCGCCCTCTCACCCTCCTCTTCGTTCTCCCCCCCCCCTCCCCTTCCTCCCGTCGTCGTCGTCCTCCTCCTCCCCATCCTCCCACTCCTCACCGTCGTTCTCCTTCCCCTACTCCTCGTTATCCCCCCCCCTGCTTCTTACCCTCGTCATCTTCGCCCTCTGCCTCACCCTTCTCTCCTCCTCATTCTCGCCCCCCTTCCGTGTTTTCCTCCTCGTCGTCGTCGTCATCGTCGTCGGCCTCCTCCTCCTCCTCCTCCTCCTTCCCTGCCCCTGGATTTCGAATTCCATAATCAGTGTTTACACTGAAGGGGTACTAGCGGACATAGAAATGATTGGCGCAAGTAGCGGGCCGATTTCGGTGGGCGGCTCTCGGTGGGCGGTTTTCGGTGGGCGCCCCCTCGAGAGATTGGCGAAAGTAGCCGGCCGATTTCGGTGGGCGACTCTCGGTGAGCGACTGTCGGTGGGCGCCCATTCTCTCTCTCTTTTGTACTCTTTCTTTTGCTGATGCTGATGTTTTTTCCGGGCCGTTGTGGGGGCGTGTTGTGGCCTTGAGTCGTCGAGGGGCTCTCTCAGGCCGTCGATGGTACCTCCGGAGGCCCGCCTGGGTCATCTTGGGCCCCTCGTGCGCCGTCTTGGGGCTGGAGAGCACCTAAGCCATTTAGAGCCGAGGGATGCCCGAAATGGCGAGGATGCCACAACCTTCCCAACGCGCAAGGGCAATCCATGAGTTCGCCTCTTAGGCCCTCTGGCGAAGCTGCGGCGGGGCATGCTGCTTGCAAAACTTTCGGGCCATCTCATGATTTGGGTGTTCCTCCAGTGTAATTTGTTGTTGCCGTCATGCCATCCGTGGTCGAGCGAGGACGACCGGAGGCTTCCAGTCCTAGAGGGGCCGTGTTGAAATCGTTCTCACAAGATGCACGCACGGTAGGTTGCTCATTGTTGATGTCATGTGAGAAGGGTGCTTTTTCTATTTAGTTCGACCTCCAGCCCGACACCGACTCGCCGCCGCGCTGCTTCCCCGTCCACTCCTTCCCCCTTTCCACCCCTTGTTCTGACAATTGTTGTCGTCGTCGTCGAACTCTTCCTCGTCAGCTCCAGCGGCACAATCGATGTATGGCCAGCGCCTGCAGGCGTGTCCCTGACCGCCACGACACCCCCCAAAGTGTCAGCCTCGGGTGGCCATGCACATACGCTGCTGCACATCGAACCCTCTGTTTGAGACAACCAAGCTGATGGAAAGATGCCGTTCGGCAGTTTTGCAATTATGAGATAGCTGGCATTGCAGACACTCAAGTGGCGACGGACTACCCATGCATTCCCGACACCATTGGACGTTCTCTTCGTGTTCAATGAGGTCGCAGCAGAGGAGGGCCTTGAACGACCGACAAGATTTGCGTTGATGGTTTCAGACAAGTTTTCCGAGTAAAGCAAACCACGCAGAGCGTGGACGGTCCAAGGAGATCTTGCGGGACGTCTGGGCGCACCCAGGTTCAAGGCAGAGCACACGGACGGGACAATCATAGTGGCATGCGTGCAGCCGTTATTAACGTTTGCAGAAAGTTCTGGGACGCGCTGAAGGGCTCGGTGTGTGTGTGTGCGAACCTACTGCCAGAACTGTACCTGTCATGTTGTTAGACATAAGCGCAAACAACGGAACGATTGTCAGTGACGCCTTGGGGCACAGTGTAACGCAGATCTGGAGAACACAAACGGTTGCTTCTTTCGAGAAGTGTTAGAGGAGCATCACCTGTGCGTGCTGAACACGCTCCACGAGGGCACGTCGACGCATTACCATGGCGACTGTGTGTTGTACTGCACGCGTGGATTTTAGTTGCTCGACTCAGGATGTGTGTGGTCATGCTACATCGTGCAGAGCGCGGGAAAGGCGTGAGATTCGCTGCAAATGATCAACACGACAACGAGACGTGACCACTTCCCTGTGATGGCGGCGTTAGATATTGGTCTGCTCTTCCCCGAAAGCGAGACCAAAGTGAGATGGGAGCATAACAAATTCAGCCGCGCCACCTTGTTCGGAGAAGGTCGGCACGAATTTCTCGACGCAGCGAATCGCGCACCTGGACAGTTTGTCCTCGAGGCGGAGACGCTGGCCAGGCAGAATGCGGGTTCGATAGGCTTGGAAGTGCAAACCGCAGCGAGGCCAGTTGCATTCGGCTTTCTTTCAGACCATGCTAAAACATGACGCTAGGCCGCAAGATACACCAGAAGCGCGAGCGAAGCGCATCGAGATGCGGCTGCAGCTGCGCTCGATTCGTTCGCCCTCGATTCGCTCAGCTTGCTTCTCGGAGTCGCGGCGAGGTCCTTGCTAGGTTTACTCCCGCTCGCTGCGAGCGTCCATCTTGTTTCTGTGCGCTCGCACTCCAGTGCTGCCCCGCAGGCATATGCGAGCCAGCCCAGCACGGAGCGCTGCGGCGCAAAGCTGACCGCGTGGTCAGGCATCTCGCGCTTCGCGAAAGGAAGCAGCTCAGTGGCTCGCGGGTGTCCGAGTCCGTCGGGCCCTGGGGCGAGAGAAATTGTTCTGATGCTTCGCAATCAGCAGCGAGGCTCAGCGACGAGCCGCTAGGCCCACCGCTTCGTCCGCACCCTCCCCCGCGAATGTTCCTTGACTGCGACGCCTGGTCGGATTTTGCGCCTCGGCCTGGCGGCGAAGGAGGGCGCGCCGCTCGCGACCCCCAGGCACGACGACGCGCTAGGCTAGACGCCCGTGTCACTACGGGGACGAAAGAAGATGGCACGAGCGAAGCTACTCTTGCTTCTGTGGAGGTGCGTGGCAAAGTCCCAGGTCTGCTTGGGAATGCCAAGTTTCGCTGCGCGCCTCCTTCGCGGCCGCTTCCTGCAGGTGTTCGGAGAATGCCACGTTGGCACCGTGCGCTTATGCCTGGCAAGAGAGCCGGTGAAGGTGCCGCAGAACAAGGAGCTGGGACTTGCTCGCCATCAGACACCGCCCATGCATGACCTTGGCTGCTGTTCCCTTTTCACGCGGGGCCCCTTCGGATGTGGCATTGCAGTCGGGCGTTTACCTGGAGCGTGTCCAGCGGCAGGATTGCGCCGGGCCCAGGCTGGCCCACGGCTCAGACTTCGTCGGGGGCGCGCGCTGCATACCCTCCTCATCCTCCTCCTCCTCCGCCTCCTCCTCCTCTTCCTCCTCCTGCTCCTCCTCCTCCCCCTCCTCCTCCCCCCTTCCTCCCTCTCCTCCTTCTCCTACTCCTCAAGCTTCTCCTCTCTCCTCCTCCTCCTCCTCCTCCTCCTCCTCCTCCTCCTCCTCCTCCTCCTCCTCCTCCCCCTCCCCCCTCCTCCTCCCCCTCCCCTCCTCCTCCTCCTCCTCCTCCTCCTCCTCCTCCTCCTCCTCCTCCTCCTCGTCTTCTTCCTCTTCCTCCGCCTCCTCCTCCTCCTCCCCCTCCTCCTCCTCCTCTCCTCCTCCTCGTCCTCCTCCTCCTCCTCCTCCTCCTCCTCCTCTCTCCTCCTCCTCATCATCATCATCATCATCATCAGCATCAGCATCATCATCGTGATCATCATCCCCCTCCTCCCCCCTCTCCTCCCTCTCCTCCTTCTCCTACTCCTCCTGCTTTTCCTCGTCCTCCTGCTCCTCCTCCTCCTCCTCCTCTCCTCCTCCTCCTCCTCCTCCTCCTCCTCCTCCTCCCTCCCCCTCCTCCTCCCCCTCCTCCTCCCCCTCCCCCTCCTCCTCCTCCTCCTCCTCCTCCTCCTCCTCCTCCTCCTCCTCCTCCTCCTCCTCCTCCTCCTCCTCCTCTCTTCCTCCTCCTCCTACTCCTTCTCTTCCTCCTCATCATCATCACCATCAGCATCATCGCCATCGCCATCATCATCAGCATCATCATCATCATCATCATCATCATCATCATCGTCATCATCATCATCATTATTATCATAATCAGCATCATCATCATCATCATCATCATCATCATCATCATCATCATCATCATCATCATCATAATCATCAGCGTCAGCATCGTCATCATCATCGTCATCAGCATCATCAGCAGCAGCACCATCAACAGCAGCATCAACATCATTATCACCACCATCAACATCATCATCATCATAAACAGCATCACCATCAGCATCGGCATCAGCGGCATTATCATCAGCATCAGCATCATCATCATCATCATCAGCAGCAGCATCAGCATCAGCATCATCATCATCATCATCATCATCATTATCATCATCATCATCATCAACATCATCGTCATCATCAGCATCATCATCATGATCATCATCATCATCAGCATCATCATCCCCTTCCCCCCCCCCCCCCCCATCCCCACCCCCTTTCCCTGGGGAGCGGGGCTCGGGCGGCGGGCGCGATATCCGCGCGGCGGGTCGCCGCCACCGCGCAAAGGAGGGCGGCAAGGAGGCCACCGACGGCTGCTATTGGACACGGGGGGGAGTGAGCAGCCGCGGGCCGGGGTGGGCCCTGTTCCTCCTTTCCCTTCCTTCTTCCTTCTGCGTCCTTCCTTCCTGTACTTCCTTCTCCTGTTGCTGTTCCTCCTCCTCCTCCTCCTCCCCATCCTCCTCCCCCTTCACCCTCCTCCTTCTCCTCCTCCGCCTCCTCTTCCTCCTTCTCCTCCTGCTCCTTCTCCTCCTCCTGCTCCTCCTCCTCTTCTTCCTCCTCTTCCACCTCCTCCTTTTCCTCCTCCTCCTCCTCCTCCTCCTCCTCCTCCTCTTCCTCCTCCTCCTCCGCCTGTTGTTCCTGCCCTTTCCTCTCGTTCCTCCTTTTATTCCTGTTCCACCTTCTCCTCCTCCTCTTCCTGCTGCTGCCCCCCCCCCCTCCTCCTTTTCCTCCTCCTTGTTCTGTTCCTCCTCTCCTCCTCCTCCTCCTCCTCCTCCTCCTCCTCCTCCTCCTCCTCCTCCTCCTCCTCCTCCTCCTCCTCCTCCTCCTCCTCCTCCTCCTCCTCCCCCTCCTCCTCCTCCTCCTCCTCCCTCCTCCTCCTCCTCCTCCTCCTCCTCGTCCTCCTCTCCTCCTCCTCCTCCTCCTCCTCCTCCTCCTCCTCCTCCTCCTCCTCCTCCTCCTCCTCCTCGCGGAGGCCCAGCGCGTGGACGCCTCGCCCCTCTCCACTGGCGCACCCCAGGAGTCTGCCGCTGGCCACCACCCCCATCCTGGCGAGGTCCTTCCTCGTCATGGTAGTGTTCCTCGCGCTGGTGACGACGCCGATGCTGGTCCCGATGCTGGTATATTTCCTCGTGGCGCTGCTGGTGCTGGCCGTAGTCCCAACGACGGCTCGGACGCGCAACAGATGGGCGAGCATGACCCGTGCTCCTACGCGCTCGACGTGCCCGAGGACGAAGACGGGAAGGTGGTGGAGCATTCGCGCGGCCGGGGATGCCCCGCGCTGCGTGGGGAGTACGGGCACGCTGAGCAGGCCAACCCTATCGCGCCGTTCGTGCGGGCGCTCCTCGGCTTCAAGAAGAGCACGCTGGCCCTCGGCGACGAAGACGAGATCATCCCGACGGTCGCGATGGCGACCGCGCGAGCGGCTTTCGGCGGGGACGACGGGCCCCACTGCTCTTCGCCATCCCGATGCTCCCGACGTGCGCCTGGACTCCCCGGCGGACGTGGCTCGCGCCACGGAGGTGGGCGACGCCTCCTTGCCCAAGCGCGCGCCCCTCCGCTTCGACGCTTCCCCCTTCGCCCCCAGCCTCGGCGTCGCCGTCGCGCGCGACGCCCCCGACGGGGAGGCGGAGGAGAGCGGCCCTCGGGCGCTTGCGGGGGATCCCCATCGTCTTCGCAGCGCGCGGCAGGCGCCCGAGCGGCGCTGTCGGGGCGAAGTTGGAGCTTTTCCTCGGCGAGCCCCTCGCGCAGCAGTCCTTATACCTCGCCGCGGTGAGCATCTCCCGAGGCGGTGGTCGCGCCCGGTGCGCTTTCTGACATCCCCTGATATCCCCCCCGTTCCTCTGGGGCCCTTAGATGGGGGCCGATGCGAGCGGGGTGAGCCAGAGCGCCGGATCTTGCAGGTTTCTGCAGGGCCAGGGCGCATTGACCCAGGCTTGCGCGCAGGATCTTTCAGAATCCTGCAAAGCCTGACTGACCCAGGTTTGCATTGACCCAGGCCACTGCGCCCCCTACCCCCCTTTCCTCTTATTCCTTCCCTTCCTGCGCATCCTCCTCCTCCCCCTCCTCCACCCCCTGCGTTTCTTCCTTCCCCTCCTGCTGCTCCCCTCCCCTCCTTCTCCCGTGCGTTTCCCTCCTCCTGGTTCTCCCCCCCCTTCCTCCGCCTCTTCCTCCTCCTCCTCCTCCTCCCCCCCCACCTCCTCCTGCTCTCCCTCCTCCTCCTCCTCCCCCCCAAGCACATTTTGGCTCGAGCGCGCATTTTGCAGCAACGAGCTGAAACCTATCGCGCCCGCGCTCGCGCTGGAGGGGCAGCGGGCTCTCCGCGCACGCAGACTCTGCGCGCGGCCAGCCTCGCCGGCGAAGAGAGGCAATCACCAAGCATGGCGTCGCGCGGGCCCTGGTCAGCCTGCAAGGGCTGCGGGACGTGCGAATACAATGAGCAGTTGATCAGCAATCAGCACAAGTGCCGCAGGTGCGAGAGGCCCGTCAAACTCTACAAGTCGAGGAAGAGCGGGCCGAGCGGCGACGGTGGCAATTCCACCGTGGAGAAGACGAAGGCGGGCTCGGCGGCGCCAGGGCAGCAGGCCCCGTCTCCGAGCGCGCTGCTGGCGCAGGCGGCCACCCGAGCCACCGACCCAGCGGTTAGGACGTCGTTCGAGCTTCACGCGCAGCAGGTGGGGCGGCCACCAAGGCGACCGCGGGCGCAGCGACGGTGGCGCAGCCCGCCGAGGCCGTCAAGCGGGCGGAGAGCGCGCGGAAGAACGCCTCCACTCGCTACGAGCAGGCGGCTAGCCAAGTGCAGCGCTGCCGCGAGAACCCCGAGCGGGCGCCCGCGCGGGCTGCCATCTCCAAGAGGGCGACCGCCAGGGCCCTCACGGCGGAGCAGGGCATCGCCCAGGCAGGCGACGGCGCCAAGGCCGTCGTGGACCTCACGTGGGACATGGAGTTTTTCGCTTGTCCGAACAGCGTCGAGCGCGACGATGCCGAGAGGAACGCCCTGCAGAAGTTCGAGGCCGATCTCATCGCGGCGAAGAACGACTTGGAGACCAAGTCGAAAAAAACATCGCGCAGTAGAAGGCTCGCACCGCCGACGTGAAGACGGTCATCCAGGAGCGGACGGCCAAGAAGAATAAGGCGGACACCGAGGCCGAGGGAGACAGCGGCGCGGTCAAGGGCAGCGGCGACTCCCCCGAGCCCCCAGCCGACGCCGCCCTCGCGGCCGACCAGGCTGTGAAGGACGAGATGGAGCGCATCAGGCAGGCGCGCGCGGCGGGGCCCGCGACGGCGCGCGCCGCCGCGCAGGTCGCAGGCGCGGCCGCCCCGTCAGCCGAGGCAGTTCAGAGGGAGATGGGCCGCCTCAGGCAGGCGCGCGCGGCGGACGCGGCAGCCGCGGCGGCGCCAGCGGTGGCCGCCGAGGCGCCCGCGGCGGCCGCTCCGCACGGCGGCGGCAGCGCCGCCGCCGCCGCTACCTGCGCAGACCCCTGAGGGGAGGCTCCCCCGAGGGGCGGTCGGCCCCCATCGGCCTTGGCAGGGGGCGCGCCGACGGCGTCGGTGGCGGCCCAGGCGCCAGCCCCCGAGGCCAGCCCGCCGCCAGCCAGCGCGGGCGCGGGCGCGGGCGAGGAGTCGCCCACTTTCGTCATGTGTTTTGTTGTTTCAGCAGCGTCGCCTGCCTCGGGGCGATGTCGCGGGGCCACGTCGGGATGCCACTCAAGGGCGCAGTGTTCAAGGCGGTCTCGGGTCTGAAGTGGAAATACATAGACAGCGCTGCTCGGTCCACTGGCAAGGGCGTCACGTCACAATGGGGCAGCCAAGGCGAACGAGGGGGGGTCCTCTTGGCGCGTGGCCACCGACGCGTCCATAGGGTCTTCGGCCGAACGTCTGAGGCCGCAGCTTTCTGCGCAGACGGCTCGCCCTTTTTCGACGGATTGTTGCCCGCAGTTGTTCGCTCGCAGGGACTCAGCAGCGCCATCGTGTTTTTTTCACGCGCACCCCTCGCTCGGTTTCGCAGGAGCCAACGCACAGCGGTTCGCTCGTCTAGGCGCTCCCCTCAAATCCGCCCGGTTGCCCTGGGTAGTGCCAGGGGGGTTCAACGCGCCCGTCGATCAGTTTCGCAGCTCGGCCCCGGTAAAAAAAATAGAGGCCACGCTCGCCAGGCAGATGTTGACTACGCTTGCGTTGGGAGCGCAGGTAGTTCGCACATCGATTTCCTCATGGCCTCAGGGAGCGGCCTGCCTTATATCAAGAGTTTGTCTGCGAGGACCGACGTTCCGTGGAGCCCTCGCTGCGCGCTGGGGCCCCGACTGCACGGCGAGGGCGAGCAGTTCCTCACCCGCCCCCTCCACTCTGCCCCTCGTCTGCCGCAGGTTCCTCGGCCGACCCCCAGCCTCACGGACGGTTCCACGGCTGGCAAGGCCTGCGCCGAACAGCGCGAGCGAGCCGCCCAGGCTAAGGACCGCCTCCGTTCTGAATTCGACAAACTGTTTGCCGATGTTTTGTCTCGCGACAGATCTGAAGTTTCCGCGACTGTCGTTTCCCAGGGGGCCGTTGCCCCTGAATCCCAGGGCCCCGAGGTCGAGCCCGAAGTTGGCTCGGACCCTCCCGCTTGGGTTTTCGGGGGCGAGGCCTTGGAGGAGGAGGGGGCGGACCCCTGGGCCCATGAGTCTTGCTTCCGCCCAGCCGAGTCTGTGCTCGTCCAGGAAAAGGCCACTCCGGACTTTCAGCAGAAGGGAATCGCAGGCGAAGGGTCGGGGGATGGGCTGCCCACATCTGTCGAGCGCCCAGGGGGCCCGGGAGCCAGCGTTGAGGCTGGGCTGATTGATCCAACTCTTTCGTCTGGCCCTGCCTGTGCTGCCCCGCCCTCTTTCTTCACCCCCTCCTCCTCGTGGCTCGCCACCTCGGCTCAAGCTTCTTGGCCATCGCGCACTCACGCCAGCGATTGGGAACCCATACTCACTTCCATTTCATACGAAGCTGGACGCCAGCATGCGCTTCCTGTCAGCAGCCGCTTCGCCCGATGGGTCGACGTCGCCGAGAGAACGACCCCGAGCACCACGGTCTTCCTGCCCCATCTCGTTCACGGGCTGACGGCGTGGATCTGGCGGTGGCTTGGGCGAAGCAGACTCTACATGTCAGGGAACAGCCCCTTCGCGACGGGACTGCATCGCGGCGGGGGCGCGCTCATTCCATCGTCGAGCAGGCTCTGCGTCATCGGCGGCGAGGTAACGGGGCGACGCGGCTGCGTCGCCCCCCAGAGGCTGGCCGTCTCCTGGCCGATCGGCCGCTGGACGGGGCAGGAGCCGCCTTCGCGGGCGGCCCCGCCTTCACCTGGCAGGAGCTTCTGGTCGGCCTCAGGGACTTGCCCAACCGCACCTTGGAGTTTCTCGAGGCGCGCGAGGAGATATCCTTCAGGTCGGCCCGACGGGCGCAGAAAAGAGCAGCATCGTCATCACCGCGGAGCATCCAGGAGTGGATATCTCTACCTGCGCCGGCGGGCCAGGTGCACAGGTCCATCACGGACCCAGTGCCTGAGCAGGACGAGCTGCACGTGAACGCGGCCAGCCTGGTGCGCCCCGTCGACATCATCGACGCCAAGGTGCAGCGCTGGCACTTGCTTTGGCAGGCAGAGGGCGCCTCTGGCGAGGAGATCCTCAAAGCCTGCGAGCTGGTGCGCGACCGCGCCGTGGTCGAGCAGCTGGAGCCGCTCACGGCCCGGCAGGTCAGGGACGTCCTCGCCAAGATGAAGGCGCGGGCGGGCATGGGCGTGGACCGCCTGTCGCCCATCGACTTCGCGCGGCTTCCCGACGAGGGCATCCAGGAGTTGTGCGACCTCTTCCAGATGATCGAGGAGGGGGTCACGTGGCCGCGGCAGGCGACGCGCGCCCCGGGCCGGCTCCTAGGCAAGAAGTCGGGCGGAGACCGTTGCATCGGGCTCCTCCCGATGGCGTGCCGCGTCTGGTCCCTAGCCAGAGAGGATCACACCCGCGGCTGGGTAGAGGACCAGGATGCTTTCTGGGACGCCGAAGTCGCGGGCAATAGCGCGCTAGCGGAGGCCTTCGCCAGAGCGCTGGAGGACGAGGTGCAGTCCACCCTCCGACTTCCTCACGGGCAGGCGCTCTTGGATGTCGAGGCCTTCTACGACGGAATCCAGGTGCCCGTCTTGGCCGACTGCGCCCTCAAGAAGGGCCTTCCGCCCACCATTTTGTTTGGAGATGCAGATGTTTCTAGCTCCACGCATGTTGTCACAATTGGGTTCGTATTCGCTGCCGTTCCAGACATTCAACTCCGTCATCCAGGAGCCCAGGAACGGCACGCGGTTCGCCAAGTGCCTCACGGCTTCCGCGCGCAAGAAGCTCATGATCGCACGCCCAGCTATGTCGCAGAGGATCTGGGTCGACGACCTCTCCGAGCGAGTCGTTGGTTCGATGCATCACGTTCGCACACCTTTGGTCAAGGCAGTTGTTTCCACAGTGCGCGAGTTCAAGCAGCTCGACATTCGCATCGCGGCCAAGAGCGCGGTCACCTGCGCCTACCACGGGGGCGCCCAGTTCGTTTCCAGGGCACTGAGGGCCAAGGGCATCACGGTCAAGGCGTTGAAGCAGGCGCCGTACTTGGGCGTCGACGTCGGCAGCGGGCGGCGGCTAGCGCGCGACACGGCACGCAAGCGCGTCGCCAATGCGGGGCAGTCGCTGGGGCGGCTCCACCGTTTCGCGCGAGCTGCCAGGCGTTGCAAGGCCACGGGGCAGCTCCAGCGAGCGGGGCCCCAGGCCGCCGCGGCCTACGGGCACCAGATCCACCGGTGCCTCGGGCCCGCTATGCTCGCACATCGGCGTCGTCTAGGTGCTGCGGCAGGCTCCAGCAAGCGTGGCAGGTGCCTGACCACCCTACTTGCACTTCGGCTTCCAGGCGCCGGCCCAGGAACTGCTCTTCCTCGGCTGTGCCCGTCTCAATGGTTGTCTTCGTGACTCGCGGAGCCAGGCTTGCGCAAGTCGGTCTCTCTTGCCTGGCCCGCAGCAGTAAGTGCCCTCATGGACGTCCCCGTGCAGCAGCGACCTCGGCACGTTCGTGGGCCCGTGTCATCGGTGATCTTGTACCTCTTGCAGGCGGGATGGACACCGACTTCAGCTACGTCGTGGCAGGCGCCGGGTGACGGGACGAAGGAGACTCACGCCTTGGAGTTCCAGGCGGGGGCCTTCGTCGGCCTGGACCAGGCGCAGCCACTACTTGCGGAGTTCGAGCCTACCTTGGCCGCGCAGTTGAGGAGGGAGGTAGCTCGAGAATTCTGTGGAGCTGGCCTCGAGCAGGGTACCGATCTTCAGAGCTATCGTCATTACATGGTATCGTTCCAAGGCGTACATCGTGGGCGTCAAATATCAGAACTGTTGGTCACGATCGCCACGGATGGTTTCTGGACGCAGCAGAGGAAGTTCGAGCCCAAGCTGACGGACAGCGATATGTGCCTGCGTTGTGGTGAAGAGGTGGGTACGTCAGTGCACCGATGTTGGCTATGCCCAAAAAATCGCGATTCCCCTGCCTACGCCCTCTCCGACGAGCTCGTTCCAGAGGCCGTGGCGGAGCAGCACACCTACCCCGCGTTCTGGATGAGGGGCCTCATACCCGCCGACTGGACCAAGGTTCAGGCCCCTGCAGCCTCTGAACCCTTTTACGGGAGCCAGCTGGTAGGAGACTCTGTGGGCCTTGGCTGCCTAGGTAGAGGGGCCCTTGAGAGCCCCATCGTCATTTTCGGGGATGCCTCAGGGGGGCCCTGACTTGCACGACTGCAGGCTCAGGCGCGTAGGTCTCGCTGCCGCCGCTTTCCAGTCCATCTCTCCCTGCTCCCTAGGGCCGCACCTATTTGGGCCCCTCCCAGGAGCCTCGCAGACCGTGCCCAGGGGGGAATTGTTGGCTTTCGAGTGGGCCATACGTCTCACGCTGGGCACGCTTGTTTATGTGATCGATTGCGCTGAGGTTTCGAGAGGATGGTATGATCGCGCCTACAGGCACCCCACAGGGCCACAGGCCGATGTGTTGCGTGCCATAGCCTCCCACCTTGTCACTCGCGGCGAATCCAGTATCGGTCATCAAAGTCCCGTCTCACCTCTCGGGTAGGGACGTGGTCGAGCAAGGCTGGCCGTCGTGGATTATTCTGAGTAACTCGTGTATCGACGCTCTTGCAGGAGAGGCTGCCACGCGTGCGAGGGTCCCGCAGCACGAGCGTTTTCAGATCCACAACATTGAACGTAAAGCTCGGTTGGTTCGTAGGCGCTTGCTGAGGTTAGCCCTCGAATCGATGTGTGTTTCCCAAGAGTGCGAGGACCCTCCCAGGGCCCCTAAGCCCCGCCTCGCGCCTCCCCATCCCAAAGCTGTTGTACGCCTCGCGTCCGCCCACACCCTGGCCGAAAATGGCAGGTCGTGTTCTGTGTGCCAAGGTTCAGCTACAGAGGACAAGGAGTCTGAATGGTTAAAAAGTGAGTGCTTCCCCCTGCTGCACGGCGATGGTAAATTGTCCCGAGTTCCCCCTGGGCGGCATTTACACTTGGCAGGAGGTTGAACGCACCCCACCCACTCTTTGCGTTTTCACCAAGACCTTGGATTGCGGTTTTGCAGCGAATGCGGTTTTTCGGCCAGGCCCAGCTCGGGGGCTTAGGAAACCCGTGCCGCCCACATCTGATATCCAAGGCCAGGCGCGAGTACCTCGACAGGTTGGCTCGTGACCTGTACCCCGAAGCCTGAGCTTGCATGCCTTTTTATCACTACGTGATGGCGGAAATCCTGGACATCCCCCTCCCCCCCCCCCCGGAGAGGGGGGCCCCTGGCGCCATCGCGCCGCGGCAAAAATCACGGCGGGGACTTCTCGCGCAGCTATGGGGGCCTCTAGGCGCCCTCGCCGGGCCCGAGGGCCGTCAACGAACGAGCCGCCCGCGGCGAAGAGCGCGGACGGGCGCGCCCAGAGGCGACGATCGTGGCGAAGAGCCCAGGGGCGGGCGTTGCACGCGTTCGTCGGGGAGCTTCGCCGAAGACGTGGACCACGAGCGCCCCTGGATGCGTGCACTGCTCCCCCTCTGGGCTATTCGCCCCCGTCGCGGCCTCCGACGCAAGGGGGCAGCCACGGGGCGAGGACGAGGACGAATGCGTTCCAGAGCGTTCCAGAACGCTTTCGGAGCCTTCCACAACGTTGTGGGAAGGCTGGCCGTCGTGGATTATTCTGAGTAACTCGTGTATCGACGCTCTTACAGGAGAGGCTGCCACGCGTGCGAGGGTCCCGCAGCACGAGCGTTTTCAGATCCACAACATTGAACGTAAAGCTCGGTTGGTTCGTAGGCGCTTGCTGAGGTTAGCCCTCGAATCGATGTGTGTTTCCCAAGAGTGCGAGGACCCTCCCAGGGCCCCTAAGCCCCGCCTCGCGCCTCCCCATCCCAAAGCTGTTGTACGCCTCGCGTCCGCCCACACCCTGGCCGAAAATGGCAGGTCGTGTTCTGTGTGCCAAGGTTCAGCTACAGAGGACAAGGAGTCTGAATGGTTAAAAAGTGAGTGCTTCCCCCTGCTGCACGGCGATGGTAAATTGTCCCGAGTTCCCCCTGGGCGGCATTTACACTTGGCAGGAGGTTGAACGCACCCCACCCACGCTTCGCGTTTTCACCAAGACCTTGGATTGTGGTTTTGCAGCGAATGCGGTTTTTCGGCCAGGCCCAGCTCGGGGGCTTAGGAAACCCGTGCCGCCCACATCTGATATCCAAGGCCAGGCGCGAGTACCTCGACAGGTTGGCTCGCGATCTGTACCCCGAAGCCTGAGCTTGCATGCCTTTTTATCACTACGTGATGGCGGAAATCCTGGACATCCCCCTCCCCCCCCCCGGAGAGGGGGGCCCCTGGCGCCATCGCGTCGCGGCAAAAATCACGGCGGGGACTTCTCGCGCAGCTATGGGCCTCTAGGCGCCCTCGCCGGGCCCGGGGGCCGTCAACGAACGAGCCGCCCGCGGCGAAGAGCGCGGACGGGCGCGCCCAGAGGCGACGGTCGGGGCGAAGAGCCCAGGGGCGGGCGTTGCACGCGTTCGTCGGGGAGCTTCGCCGAAGACGTGGACCACGAGCGCCCCTGGATACGTGCACTGCTCCCCCTCTGGGCCATTCGCCCCCGTCGCGGCCTCCGACGCAAGGGGGCAGCCACGGGGCGAGGACGAGGACGAATGCGTTCCAGAGCGTTCCAGAACGCTTTCGGAGCCTTCCACAACGTTGTGGGAAGGCTGCGACGTCCGATACGTCGAATTTTCCTCACCCGAGTGTATCCTCGTCCTGGCTTCGTCTCAGAAAGGAAGTGGATTCCCAGACCGCCGGCGATGTACGTTGTTCCATTAGGACGTGTTTCCTCGATGTCGGCCTTCGGGGCCAACTATCGCGGGGAGGTGGTTGCGAGGGAGACGCCCCCGATCGGACTGGCGCTCGATCCGCCCGCGCGGTGTTCCTCCGCCCTTTCTCTGCTGCCGCCGCCCGCGCGCGAGGCTCTCGTTGAAGTGCGGGGCGCCTTCGCTGTTTTGCTTGGCCGCCGCCCGCGGCAGCTCTCGTTGAAGTACAGGGCATTGAGGCCAATAGACGTAGACCTGGGGTGGAAAAATTGCCCCGTGAAGCGGTCGGGAGTTCAGGGGCCCCGTGCCCACGCAACCATGCCGACGGATGTCAGGACATTGGGGCGGGGAAGGACGGAGGGAAAGAGAGAGTGGATGGAGGCAGGCTAGGTGCGCACACGTCTTATCTGACGTCATACCCCTCGTTTGCATCCCTTGCCATGGCGTAGATCTCCTCTCCAGTCGCGCAGTCGGATGTCGAGCAGGGCAGTTATCCCGAGAGGGCACGAGATGAATGGTAGTGCACGGCACAGCAGAGCGTAGAAGAGCACGGCAGAACGTAACATGTTATGGCATAGCGCGCCATTGCGCAGTGACGCATTGCAGCGCAAAGCGTGGCATCGCAGAGGGGCGCGTACAATGATAGCCAACGCTGTAGCGCGAACGCGATGTGGATTATCCGCAACAGAGAAATGAGGTCAGCGCTGCAGCGGGAGTATGCTCTGGCAGGACCGAGGGCCAGAAAATGGAGCCAACGCTGTAGCGTGAGCGCCGTGCTGGACACACCAGAAACGCTCCGATGGAAAAAACACATGTGACCGACCACCCCTTATGATTTGGAAGGACCGAGAGTCAAACATTGAATCCAACGCTGCAGCGGGAACGCCATGCTGGAAACACCTAAAACGCTGGGATTTGACAAAACACATACGGTCGACCATTTCTCATGATTTGGAAAGACCGAGAGCCAGAAAATTGATCCAACGTTAAGCGGGAGCACCATTCCGGAAACAGAGAAAACGCTTGGATTGGAAAAGCAAAAACCACATATGATCGACCACCTTTGGATGGATCGGATGTGTAAAAAACAGTACGCGGATGGGGGCAGGCTACGACTTCTGGGTTTTCGGGGGGGAGGGGGAAATAGTATTCATATTGTGTCACTGTGGAGGGGTAGAAGGGCGGGGGGGGGTGCGAGGTAGCAAGATGAATGATGGATACGGGCGGGAGGAGAGACGGGCGCAGAGGGTTGGGGACTGCGGGCGAGGCAATTTCGTCGGCGCCCCGGTTCTTCCCGAAATAATGTTTGAACTTCGGTTTCTGTTGTTTAGGTAGCACTTCGTCGCAGGATGTTCGATGAATCCCTCGCAGCAGGATCTCCACAGAGGGGGTCCAGGGAGTCCCGTCTCCCAGGCACGGCGGCGGTCCGGCAGCGCTCACTGTTGCGTTTTGGTGCGATGTCAGTGGAGACATGCGACTCACGATGTTTTTGGGGCGACCAAGAATCTGCGGCAGTGCTCACTATGGTGTTCTGGCACGATTTGGTTTACAAGCGCGGATCGCTATAATGTTCTGGCGGCCCGGAATCTTCCAGCAGTGCTAAGTGTTGCGTTTTGGTTAGATGTTGCCCAAAAATGCGATTCACGGTGGTGGTGTGGCTCGATTTCAGCTTTCCCAGATCCAGACATGAGGCTCAATACGGTGTTCTGGATCGATTTGGTCAACAAATAAAACTATTGCATTACGGGTTAATTTGCTTTTACCGGAAACTCCACAAGGGACGCCGGGGGGGAGCGTTATCCCGGTCTGGCGGCTGTCCCGAATCGAATCACTATGGTGTTTTGGCTTGCTATGGGTTGGTGTAGTCAGAGTTTCGGCTCGTGCCCAGTTGGTGCCGCCTCGTTGCCGCCTCGCGTTCTGGGTGGGTGTATCGGGATGTCTGCTGGTGCCCGGTTGGTGCCGCCTCGTGTTTTGAGTCTAAGTTTACAGGACATGGCTGCACCACATAGCTTACCACATAGCACACACCGCATATGATACACAGCATAGCTTACATCACATAGCTTACAACCCACAGCTTACATCACACAGCTTGCACGATATAGCTTACGTAAAGCAGCTTACACCGCCCCGCGTTCACCTGCATGACTTACGCCACATAGATCCAGTTAGATCTCTACCACTACACTGCACCGCATAGTTTCCATCTCCACGGTGCAATACCGCAGTGTTTGAGGTCTACGCTGGCTTACAAATGTTATGCTGTTTCCTACTGTTTTCGAGGTCCTCGGGGCCCTGGGCTCTCTGCATCGGCCGCGTCTCGCCCAGATAGGACCCGGAACTAAACAAAACCCTATTCCTTCCCTCCCTCCTTCCCTCGTTTCCCTGCTGGGCCGCCCAGCGACCAGTCAACCTTCTGATTGGTTGCT